TAATGGGACGCTCAAACAGAAATTAATCAGAAAGAAGTCCTATGCTGGGATAATACTCGATTTCCGGTCCAATCACAATTACAGGCTGAAAATTGGAATAATGAGAAGCATGATCATCCGAGGACTATGCCTAACGGAAGTATAATTCTGGGAAGAGGAACTGGACAGATTGACTAGGATATTGCTCGGCAATGGCTACCCTAACGAAGTGATACAAAGAAACATATGGGCCATGAATAGCCAATGGAAGAACGGGGACTACGAAAGGACAGTAAGGACAATGAAGGATTAACAAAAGTGGATATGCCTACCTTCCTGCGAGCCAACTCAAAAACTACAGCCAGTATTGAGTAAATGGAATATTCAGGTGGCCATGAAAGAGAAATCAACGCTTTTCACAAATCTACCGACGCAGCATGAAAGGGTAGGCAAATTTGAATGTTCAGGAGTTTACTGTGTATCATGCGGAGCCCTAAAATAGGAATCTATTGGCAAAACAGGGAAAAAAATTAGCACAAGAATCAAGAAACATCAGAGGCTCTGCAAGAAAATAGATACAGAAAAATCAGAACTAGCGGAGCACATCACACAGACTGGACACGAGATCATTCGGAAGGCAGCAGAAAGAAGAGCCCCATATGGTGACAACACAAGGAATCGGAAGATTAGGGAGGCCATTGACATCTTCGGGAAGAAAAATTTAATGAACAGGATTTTGGAGAAAGGTAAAGTTAGCGATAACTTTGCCTACTGCCTAAGCAAACTCGGGGCAAACAAGAATAGAGCAAGATCAGCAATATTAAGACTTTTGGATCAAGTATCTACCGCTAACCGGAAGAAAAAAGTTCGCGATGAAGAAAATGGGGCGCAGGGATTTTTGGAAATCATGTGAAGTCGTCAGTGCGTGATGTCTGTTCGAATAAACCAGTACAACTTTGTGGATCTGGCAGTCAGGGAGTTAGGCAGACGGATAAGCAAACTGTCACGGAAATTCGGCGTTATGGTCAAAATATACTAGAAATCTATTTGAGATGCCGCATCGACCAGAGATAGGCGTTCACAGTTTGCTCAGATAACATAGCTTTAATCAAGGAGACAATTCGTGAAGGGAAGGCCTGATATCTGCAAGCATGGGAATCAGAGCTTAGGCGATTCTGCTCAGTGAAGTGGCAGTGTACGTGCTTCTATGGCCTTGAGAAATAGCGCCTGGAGTGAAATGAATACGGACTGAAACCAAGTGAAATCAGTCAACCAGACAGATAAGGAACGCGTATAAGAGATAATGAAGTGATTCGGATTGGAGGCCTGAGTCGAATCGAAAGAGAAGGGTCGGGGTAAATAGCAAGTGTGGTGAGGCCATACTAGGTTTGACACAAAAAGGCACGCATTTTGACGAGTGAAATGTAAACAAATGTGAAGTTTTGCATATTTAGATGTAGTGTGGTGTGTCCTTTTGAGCGGAATTCATGAGAACCATGCACACTTCACTCTGACATTCTCACCCCTCCTTCACACTTGTTCTAGGAATGTGGATCAGAGTCTGCCATATTGTTACGCAGTCCTTCTTCCCTAGTTCTTATCGCAATCTCTCTCTTGCCTCGTAAGATCTGTCAGCCTCGAATTAGTCACCCAGACGCAGGGGAGGGCGAATAACACCTTAAGTGGCACGGATGGGGTGGCAAGGGTCGAGTGAAATATGTGAATCAGGCTGAGGACAGACGGATCTTACGTGGCAAGAGAGAGACTGTGATAAGAACTAGGGAAGGAGGACTTCGTAACAATATGACAGACTCTGATGCTCATTCCCAGCACAAGAGTGAAGGGAATAAGGACGACAGCGTGGAATATGAAGGGTTTTCATGAATTTAGCTCAAAGGAGCACACCACACTACATCTAAATAAGCAGGATAAAAAATTGTGAGAATTAAGGCGTGATTTGAGGATATAGGAAATATGAATAGCTTTGGGCAGAAGGGGAGATACCAAAACTGTTTAGCATACGTTTGGTCAAAGGATAGGCTTACTTGTCTCTTTGACGAGTTGTTTGGTGCTAAGAATGTCAAAACTCATTGACGATGCCGGCGAAATGTCTGGGAATGTTCCACGTCCACGGTCCGACTTTGCAAATGATTATGCATACAATGGGCTCCGGAATAAGTGCGTTCCTCTAAGTCTTCCTACCAATATAACTAAGTTACGAAAACAAGGTCAAACAAAATATTTATGTGCATGAAGAAGAGATTCGTTGGTCGATCTCACTTGATGAGGACGGATGAAACTCGTTGTACTGGTCTAGTGTTAAGATTTGACTTTTATAACAATGACACCCAGCTTTGATGATGTCCATCATATGATGGACGAAAGCTCAGCACATTTTCACCCGAAACGAGGGAGGAAGTTCCGTGGACTGCGTCAACATGAATATCCTATACAATTCAACCGGCTGCAGTACAACGAGTTTCATCCGTCCTCATCTGGTGAGATCGACCAACGAAAATATTTATGCTTTATTTCGTGAAGTTTGGATATCTGCTCTGTTGATGTTTGTCAGGATGGTATAGACGAAAGCTTAGTTCAGTTTCATTGGGGTCACAGGGTGGTGAGCCAAGGACTTCTTTGCACAATTCAACAGTCTTCTATACGCGGCAATCCTCATTTGGTTTCCTGTTAGATCACATCACGAATTCCTCCCAACCAACTTTCCCTTCAAAATGGATAGTAATGTCATTATATTTTTTTGATGAATTCTTAATTACTAAATTCCATGTTCTCTATTATATTCATATTTTTGATTTTTTTCTATATTCTTAATGTTCCAAATGTGACAATGAAATCACAAAGCAGTAACCACCCGACACTCATTCAACTGTCCATCAAGTTAATCTTCGTTCATTATCGTCACGGATTTTGCAAAGCGCCTACGTTCATAACTTAGATTATGTTTATTTTACTAAAAATTGTCATGATCTTTCTGTAGGAGACAAGCGAGAGAGAATGATGAGAACCAGGCCATCAAGATGGTGCTATGCCGAAGCAGCGACATCACCTACGCTCGGTCGGTCCTGTTCTCACGCTGATATCCAGCCGACTGTTGAATTGCAGAAGTGATGCTCGGGGAGGAACACACTAAGAGGCGGTAGAGATTAGAAAAGGCACTCAGCGACTGCTATCCTCAAGAGGGATTGGTTCGTCATGGCCTACGGCGCCATACTAGGACAGGCCCTTTGGTAGTAGGAGAGAGCACAGGGACTTTTAACTGGATACCTTTTGGGACGACGGCGACTGATGGATCCAATACTAGACTCATGATAGATTGTCGAGGGCATGGCTGGTTCTTCGTCAAAGCCAAGTTTGCTTATACAGATTGAGATATACGTGTGTGTGTGCATGCGCGTGCGAGTGCGAATGTGTGTGGATAAAGGTACATGTTTGCGAGAGGGGACAGCTGATGGTTTCGCGTAGTGGTGCTAAGCGGAGGTATTGAGTAGGTTGGGTTTATTCACTACGTGCGGAGAAAATTTAGCTTTTAAAGGCTCTATTGATTTATAATTGTTGAGCTCACATCCATTTCGTGTGAAAGTGTTAGGTGAAGAGATTCCAAGGCCGATCCCACCAGGTGACGACTAGCTGTCGACCGGCCTTATTGGAACATTCTTGTTGGCACTGCTTCCGAGCCAATCCTCTTCGATTCCAGTAAAAACTCCATCTTCATGGATTTTTTTTGCCGTTTTGCCGCAATATCAATGATTTTTTTAATCTTTCTTAAATCATCTCTCATAATCTAGTCTTTGCTAATTGTTTACCTATTCATTCTATTATACTTCAACTTATTTTGATATTTAATCCTGCGTCTGGGCTCCACTAGCATTCTTTATTTTTAGTTAACAGTTTTTTTGTTTAATTAGTTTTCATCTCAATTAGTAACATATCAAACCCTTTGTAATTATCTCCTAGATAAAATTTCCCACTTTATCTCCCAGGTCTGGTCTTCGAATTCAGGCCTTATTCAGTCTGTGCTCAAGCTCTTCAGTGAAGTTGCCGATTGCTGTTTGCTCTACCTCTCCTCAGCTACAGCACAGTCTAGTCTTCGTCAGACTAAAACTTTTTCTGGATCTCTCTACAATTGTCTATCGATATGGAGCCAGCATCTGTGTTCTCTTGCCCAACTTACTCCCAACGCTCGTTTTCTTGGTCTTGTTGATCTTCTCTCTCGCGGCTATGCCAAGCAAAATATCGGTTCGTTTGCATGACCATTAATATATCCTGTTTTATTCATAATGCTTTTAAAACCTCGGCTATTGAGGCACAATTTAAGCATGAAATGCTTTTTGCTAATGGCGGTGTTACTTCATTTAGTATCTCATTTGATGCTGAAATATGATCTAATATAGATAATTAACCTCTCGTTAGGGAGTGGTGTACGAGTAATGCCATGGCACTTATGGACTCTACTCACTGAGGGCTCATCCTGAACCTTTCTCTAAACGAATCACTATTTTTATTCTCAATATTGTAGAATAAACCAAATGGGTCTGGATAATTTATTTTCATTATCCTTATTTAGTCTATTTTGGTACCATCATTTCCACTATTATCGTCATTTTTGTGTTCCTCTCCATGTATATGTTTGTCCCCTACGATTACACCACTGCAAATGTACCCATTTCTAAGTATAATATCGCCACCAAAATAAACCTCAGCCGTTTTCATCAGCACCATTCTCCTATTCTCCAGCTGAAAGACTTGATGGTAAGTAAAGATATTGGAGATACAAAG